AATAAGTGTGAATTGTATCAATATTCTGTGAAACACTAACAATCGAAATATTTTCGCTAACACTGAAGCTTCGTTATTTTCAATTTGCAAAATACCTAATTGAGAAATACTAATTCTGAGAGTGATTAGCGTAGAAGGTACAAAGGTTAGATTTTCTGAACGCAACTGACAACTGTGTTGCAGTGTTCGCGTTTGGCCAAACTTACGAAGTGCTGTTCCTGGCTCGAAGCATCCAGGGCATCTCCTCCGCGTGCATCGGCGTTTCCGGGATGTCGTTGGTCGCCTCGCAGTATCCGGAAGAGGACAAAAGGTCGAAAATTATGGGCTTCGTCCTCGGCAGCATAGCGCTGGGCGTTCTCGTTGGATATCCGATTGGTTCTGTCCTCTACGATCTCAAGGGGAAAATGGCACCTTTCTTGTTGGTCTCTTGCTTCATCGTCGTCACCATTTGTACGAATCTTTTTTCTTCTCCTTCTCCGATTATTATTATTATATTAACTTACCGCTCGGAACTTGCTCTTTTTTTCTCTCGGATTTGAACTGGAAATTGGAATTTTTAGAAATCTTGCCATTTCATGTCTCTTGTTTTTTCTAGAAAATCGGAAATTAGAAGGTCAAGTTGAATCTCACAATTGAACAAAACTAGAGATTGGATTTGATGATTAGAATTATTTATAAAGATTGTGTGAGCAAAGAAATAATAATGTAATGAAGAGATCTAACTATTCCAAGCAGTAACTCGGATCATTTTCAGTGCTGAATAGAGAAATAATAATCTTAAACGTATCTTTAAATTTTCAAGTCAAACAATAAATTTAATAAATAAATTCATAGTCTTTACTATACGATTCGATTAATAGTCATAGCAGATGTGATAGTCTGGATAATAATTTCCCTTCAGGTTTGCAGACTTTTACATTGGATGTGGAAATGACTACCGAGGTACGTAATGTACGTTATAATAATATAGTAATATTATCTTCTTCTAATTGAGCTGCATAGTAAAGGGATAATTTCTCAAAATTCTTCACCCATAAATACAGAAGAAGTTCATCGCATTTAACTTTAATTGGCCTCGTTGATTTCCATCTCGTTTACAACAAATGATAAACGACGAATTTTTAGTCGAGCGAGCGAAACACGTGTTGGACACACCTGCTGTCCAACCGATACATACTAATCATCTTTGGAGCTATATGGTGCTCGACATCACCCATGGCTATCTTAGAACCCTGCCTACCAATCTGGCTACGAGCTCACATAAAACCCAAGGTCAGTTAAAACATTCTTACTCGTCGATATTTCATCAAACTTTACTAGACAATTTAATCCCTTCCTCTTTACACTGTGATGCAACAGTGTTGCATGATACTGTAGGTATACTAACTGTCTAACATCTACTACCAACAAAGAAGATATGAAAATAGAGAAAACGTGAAAAGAGAAGGAATACGGGAAACAGAGGGAATTTCAAGAGGGAAAATTTTGTTGCAGAAATGGCAACTGGGAACAGTGTTCATACCGGACAGCGTGGGCTATTTAGTTGGGACCAATTTTTTCGGCATGATAGCCTATCGCTACGGGCGAAGTAAAATCGCTGTTCTAGCGATGCTGTTGGTTGGCATAAGTGCCATTTTGATACCATCCTCCCAGACAATGTCGCAACTGATAGTTCCACATTTAGGAATGGGTTTAGGCATTGGGGTGGCGGATGCTGCTCTGGTGCCATTGTTAGCCAGCTTGGTAGACCAAAATGGCAATTACGGGCCCGTTTACTCGATTCAACAAGTGGCTGTTAGTCTGGCCTATTCCCTCGGTAAGCTGGCCACACTCTCCTCCGTAAGGATATTTCAAATATTTTATCACTGACCTTTGACCTTACGTGACCAAACTTACTGTGACTCTATATTTTATCGTATTTCATTCCCCTTGCTTTTAATACTTGAAACGTTGATCTCTCAATGACATTTCAATTTAATTTAGGCTAAAAGAGCCTGTGAAATATCGACCGAACGAAGCACGACTGTGTTTCGAGATTTCATCTGAATTTATTTGTTGATTTATTAATTGATATTCGTCTTCATTTGGTCACCACAAAGTGATCGTATAAATACGTATCGAATAAAAAAGAATTACAAATTTACCCTAGAATTACTGGAGAAGAAAAATTATTGAACTGAATGATTATAGATTCGACGAATTACCAAATTTTCTTATAAACTGCCTTTTTAGAAAAAAATGTCTCGACCATTTTTACACTCTAATCTCGCTAGAGTCTCGAGATCAAACTCGATCGTTTCGAAATAAAGATATGTAAGAGATTTGTAATTTTTCATAGTTCCGTGAATTTCGATGAAATATTCGTTCAAGGGCCCATCGCGGGAGGAGAAATGGTAAAGACGATCGGCTTCCAATGGGTTATGCGAATTATCGGCTTAATGAACATCGGCTACTGTCCGTTCCTAATATACCTCAGCCTGGAGAGGAGAAAATTATTAAATCAGCAGGATGAGAAGAGAGATTACGAGACCTTTCAGAAATCAGTGACGAAATACGAGCGCTTTCGGGACTCTGACGACGATCTCTGATACCTGAACGACTTCTACCAATTACCAAGATTAACCTCTATTTTATATAATTCCACGAGGATGGATCGTAGTATCTGGTTTCCGTTAAAATAATCCAAAGTTTAATTAGACAGTACCTTCTAGGAAATGACACACTTGAACACTATTCTCGATAAATAAATGCCAAACATTAAATACTTCCTAAAAAGTTCGTTTGCAATTTTCTAAAAAGTGATATTCTAGTTTCTTTTCTTATTATTTATCAGAAAGTAGTATGATTTTATACGAACTTTTTACTTCTCACGCAAAAATCACCGAGCTAATCGTTCAAAAGTAACAAAAAAAGATTCAGATCTAGTCAAACGCTTCTTCATAAATGGCGTTGCATTCGTTTATTTTTGCGCGTGAAAAGTAGGACACGATCTTATTTATTGTCAACGTCGAAGATCATTAATAATAAGAACAACGTAAATTCAAGAAAACCCAGTTAACGTTTGATTGTTCGTTTGGTGGCTCGTGTCGAAAATTTTCCACGGATACCGCGTTTCGAATTCACGACCGAGAAACGTTCAGAAACAACATTAGCAACATCATTGTACTCCTACTCAACTGTAACTCAACGTCGTAAGTTATAACGAAGTAAATTACCATCCTCGAAATTGCTAAGCAACGTCCTGCGGCCATTTCGCCACGACGTTTCACAATTGCTCTCCGAATTCCGAGAAAAGAAGAAAAGAAAAAAAATTAAACGCTCCCTCTTTATTTAGAATACAATTTGAATTTCAAGGCAATTCAAACGCAAGGATATTTTAATAATTGCCTCGTTGAGGAACAAAGGGAGCAAGATAAAATTTACACGATTATTTTCGTTATTTTTTTTTGATAGACGGTAATAAATGACAATGGTGTATGTTTGAATGAAAAATTAAAATATATCGGTATCTGTAGAATGGATAGATACTTAACAAGTGGAGCATTTTTAACTCAAGGGATGAAAAATATGTAAAAGTATCCTGGTTAATCCCATCATCCTTCGTTTTTGCCTCTAAAATATATCAAATGAATGAGAATTAATCCCATCATAAAAACCTGACCTAAACCTAACCTAACCTAAATGAATGAAAATTATATCCCATCATAAAAACCTAACCTAAACCTAACCTAACCTAACCTAAATGAATGAGAATTATATCTCATTCTATTTAGATGTTATTTGAGGTGAACTAGAACGAAAGTGTATGAAAATATTCCAAAAGTAAACAATATATTGTTATTTAAGGTACTATCAAGGTAATAATTATTACCTCAAGAATATTCTAGTACAAAAAGTATGCAAAGCGTGTCGAAAAAAAAGTAAGAAACTATCAAAAATAAAAGTTGTATCACAAATAATAATTCTACAATATCAAGAAAAGAAACTACATTATCTGTAGAGTTATCACCAAAAAAAAAAAAAAATATTACTCGCAAATAAAATAACATACTTATCATGCACGATAAAACGCAAGTATCGTGTGAAATCCAACTAAATCGACATTAACAACCAAAAGAACTTCCTTCTAATATTTCGCCCTTGAGACCACTTCCGGCCCGCGGCACTTGAGATTAAAGTCGCGTAAATCACCAACAGGTATCGCGTGCAATCTCGGCCAATTAAAACGTTTCCATAGAGTCGTGGCGCAGCGAGCAGAAAACAAGCATCGCACACTGTCACCTAAAGAATATTAAATCCCCTCTTAGAGGGGTTGGTTAGATGACGCTAACGTCGCCGTAATCCCGCAATAACGTTGGTTAAATTATATTCCATAAATAGAAAATCGATGCTCGCACGGATCTGATCGGCGCTCGAAATAAAGCCAACGGCCAAAGGGCGAGAGTTTCGTTCGCCATCGAGGTTGTCGTCATGGGGGTTTGCTGGCTGATGTGAGCTCAGGGAACCGCGAGCAAAATGGCCGTCGAACGCTAATGTAAATTTAGTGGGAACTTTTTTTTTTCTTTTGACGTGGAGGAAATCTTCATAAAACACCTGAGTTTTTTTAAGGGAAGACCCAGATAGTGTCAGATATTTACCGACTAAAACCTCCACCCTTTTCATACACAC